GCTGGTTCGCAGCGCGATTATCTCCTTGAAGTCTCCAAAAGGGTTCTCAGTTTTTTGTTCGAGTTTTTCATAATTTAGGTAAAAAATTTGGATTAAAAATTTTAAAACACATTCTTCACCTGAATTTATAAATAAAATTCACAATTTTTTCTTTTTTATTTTTTTAAAAATGAACACCCAATTAATTTTTAGGCATTAGAATGAAATTGGGACTTTCCCAATTCCAAAGTAATGCTAAATTTAGTGTGACTTATGAGTAATTCTTTAGGGGATAGGGTGGAAAAAAATAAATTAAACATAAAAGAATACAGTAATCATTAAAATTTATTCCTAAGCAAAATGCATAAACCACTATCAAATGAGGCAATAACCAAAAGTGATGTAGCCTTTATTAAGTCAATATAATGATTATAATACAAGAATTAATCATTCCTAATTAAATACAAATAAAAGGGGATCATGGTTGGAAGTGATTCATCATAATTACCCACCCTTTTCATAGAAAGACCAAATGCAATAATTATCCCCTTCTTTTTCCTTGAAAATTAAAAAGAAAACATTATGTAAGCCCTGTAATTACTTTCTCTTAATTTCCCAAAAAAAAGAAACTTTTTAAGGTTGTATAATTTAATTTTCACATGGTGCTATGTATTAATCTAACTTAACTACATGATTAGGGTTCATAAATTAATTACAAAGACTTTTCTGGGTGGAAGCAACTTTTGGTTCTGTGCCAGGCAGACTGTGAATAGCAATCATAGCAGGGGGCTTTATATAGTAACAATTTTGATGCAGCATGTGGAATTACTTTAATACCCTTATTCTTTTAGAATGGAATGGGTTGGAAAATGATGGAGAGTGAGTGATCCATGTGACCAACAAAGCAAAGCATCCTATCCGGCAACATCCGCTTTCTAAAAAACAACAGAACAAAACTGGATAAATTTAGATGATTCTGTAGATGAGAAAACTACTGCATCCATTCAGACTTCAAACAAATATAGAAAAAGAAAAAATTGATTATTAATCTTTTCTTCTTTTCTGGTAAACAAGATAAGGTGTATTTCCTTCTATTGCAATTAACATTATCACTGCTGTGACTTTAGTACGAGCTTCCCACCGAGCCTGAGGTTGCCCAGTTACTTGGGGAAAAGGCGGTCCCCAACTGCCGCTTTATGGTTTCTTCCTTTCTCTCTCTCTATTGTATATATATATATATATATATATATATAATACTTAATATTAATTTAGTAAATTATCATCTTAATATTCATGAAATCAATATTAAATACTAATCCAGTAAATTATCGTCTTAATATTCATAAAATTAATATCAAATATTAATATTGATACTTAACAAGTGGTCGACTCTTAACCTGATAGATCAAGATTCAATATCAAGTAAATAAATAAATATATACATATATATATATTTAATAATAAGTATTAACCTAATAAGTTAATAACCCTGATATCAATAGAATTAATATCAAATATTAATATTGATCTTCAAGTGGTATTAAAACCCCAACTCAATGAATCAATATCTTATAACAAATAAACTCTCACACACACACATCTATGAAAGAGCTCAAGGTGATAGTGAATTGTTTTACACTTTTTGTTTCAAAAACTCATTTTTACTGTAATATATGATATTTTTTGGTAATAATTAAATAGAGGGTAAAACAGTCAAATTTTTTAAATAATAAAACATGTAAAGAAACTTTGCTTTTTCGTTTCAATAATTAGCAAAAGGGAAGCAAACAATAGTTGTAATGTGAAAAGAAAGATGAAAACCTTCTGATGATTACCATATCTGTCGGTACAATGACTGTTCATCTTTTGGGCTGGCCACAAGGTAAAAGGTCTCGGTGGCAATTGGCAAAAATAGATCAAGGCCTGTCCAAAAATAAATAAAAATTAAAAATAAAAGCTGACACCCACTACCAGCAAGAACAAGCACAAAAGGTTTCTTGAGGATGGTGCATCCAAAAGCTTAATCTTTGTTTTCAAGTGTAGTTTGTTAAGAACGACCAAACTTTCCTTCCTTTGTTTAATTTAAGTCCATTCATCTCCATAGAGAAGAAAACAGTTCATTCATTGTGCTTCTTGTTAGAACCAGCAGAAGTACCATGATGATCATTATATATATATATATATATATTATTTATTTATTTATTTTTGTTGGTGGGGCATCTTGCCATGCCAATTAAATGATGAAAGTAATGCACTCCTAGTTCATTTGATGGCTTTACATTTTCTCAACCGACCAAACACTGAATAAAAGGGTGAAAGATGAGTCCTTTCCGCTCGTCACATTCTCCTCCCTAGGCCCACCCCCGCCCATCTAATTATACTTGCTACTAAATTCAATTTTATTTATTACATGGCAAATAAGTTATATTCTAAAATCTTATCATGTAATATAGAAGACTACACCAAGTGTGAAAATAACAGGTCTAAACAGTTTTTGAATTTAATTTTTGTCATATTATGTAAATAGGGGGCTCTTTTGCTGAATATTTGAATTGGTATACGTTGATACTTTAATTGATTGAGTGATCAGTTCTTTCTTTCAAAGAAATAATGCGAGAAGGCATAAAAGTTGAGAGACGTTCAATGTAATTTTCTTAAAGATTAATGAGTTGAAATATCATCCCATGTACTATCTTCATCGACTTTTTGATGAAGCATACACAATTACTCTAACTTTCAACTATCTTTCATTCAATTTATTTGATAATAGATCTTAATACACTAAACTAGTAACCCTAATATCTGTTAAATCAGTAATCATTAGTAGTATCTAATATTATTTTTAAAAATGATAAAACGACTGATCTACTAGATCAATTTCTAATATCAAATATAAATATTTACTTATGAGAATAATTGAAATTAGAAAATAACATCACTCTTAAAAAAAATGTCCTAACTGAATATGTTAAGGAACAAAGACAGAGGTGTTTGCTTAATCAAATGACTGATCTTCCAGTTGTCTGGTGCTTGGAAAGAGAGGATTACTAGAGAGGGCCCAGTCCAAAAGCTTTCTCACTAGGGTGTGCTCCTTGTAGAGGGGGCAGATTCTTCAATTTCTTTAGATTTGATAAATGATAAGACTTGAGAGACAGAATTAATTCCATCTCACTTGAATAATTCAGCAGTGATTTGCTATTACAGCTAGATTTAGATGACCCTCTAATCTAATTTCTTTTTTTGGTATTAGGCTAGTCCCTTTTATTGGCTACCATGTTGCGAAAGAGGAGAGATTTTTGTTGAGTGATAGATAGTGTGGGTTGGTCATTATGTCTTTTGTGTTCGACAACGCAGCCCAGAGATGAAGACGCATAATGCTTGTCATCTAGCAACGTTGAAGCTTTCATTCATTGCGTTTCAAATTACTTTTAGTAATGCTTAGCTTATTTATAAGCTGTATAAAAAGAGGGGGGGGGGGGGGGGGGAAGGAAAAGGGAAAAGGGCTCCAAAACTGAAAGCCAATGGGGCCTGGCACAAAAACGACAATCTGAAATGCAAATTAAGCTGTGAAGTCATGTAAATTATGAGGGAGAAGAGAAAAAAGTAAACAAAAAGTTCTTCCCGCAAAAAGCTTCAGCATAAAAACCAAAACAAATTCAAGTGGAAACTTATAAAATGTACAAGTTGACGAAGTCTCCCAATATTGATAACACCCACCAAATTACCAGTAACTTATTTACCTATTCTTTCACACAAAATGCTTTTTGAAAATATAAGTATGACTCTCATAAACACCCAATTCTGAGATTTTCATAATCCAAATGTCATGCAAGATCGGCGTCCCGAAAATCCTTACACTCGGTGACTTTTCCGAATAATTGTATACAACGAAAACCTAGCGCAGATCCAAACACAATCCGACATTAAAAATGTAAAAGCCACTCAAAGTCTAAGCGGTGGGAGAGCGGGAATATTGCTCTCTCTCTCTCTCTACCCTGCGGTGAGAGATTTTTGCAAAACAGAATACAATAAATTTTATTTCTCAAACGCTTAATGAGTTGTTAATATTTCATTTTTTTTTATGAGGGTTATATAAAGAGTACAAAATACTGAAATGAGAGAAATGTAACAATTAAGATTTGAATTCTGATCATCAAAACTTCTAACATTTAAGATCTAAAGAAATGCCACTGGATCAAAAGATATTGGCTGAGTTTAAATATTTCAACATATGGAAACTTTGGCACTAAATAAATTTACTAATAAAAGCCCAAAAATCAATTTTTTATCATTTAAAACATTGTGTCAGGCCGTTACAAAACGCTCGTACAGTCCATAGTTGTAAAAGCAAACTCAGAATCAATAAATAGGGAATGTAGTTAAGAATTTATCTCCATTAGTCAGGGGAACTTTGTTTCTGGCTCAAGTTAGCCTAAGTGCCAATCAAATTTTTGAAAGTGTTTTTATCACGCACTAGCTTACTTTTTTATATGCTTTGAACTGACTCTAGTTCGAAAATATACCAAGATAAAATCTCTCCCTCCCTCAGTTTGCTGATACTAAGTTTGAAAAAGCAAAGAGTAGAGAAACTGGAGAAGTTACAATCAGTCAGCATCCCAGGGAAATCCTACGAAGCAGAATTTTTGAGCATCTATATTGTCCTTCACTTTATCATCATTATCATTGCTACTGTAACATTTAGTGTTGTGCAAGACTTCACTTCCCCTCAGGGAGACTTTGCTTTAAGGGGGGGCAAGAACTCAAAAAATATTCCTAATAGCTACAGACTACGATTAAATACTAACAAACATTCCAAAAATGAAAATTGCCAACATTGCAAAAAAAAAAAATTAATTAGCCCAATTCATTTCGCTGGTGACTGCAACAATTTTTAGAACTGGTTTATCCAATGCTAGATCCTTGTGCCGAGTTAGATGCATTTTCATAAATGTGAGGATGGGAGACTGGTGGAAACAAGGTAACGAGGAAACGATGAATCATCTCAAAGCTGGTGAATGTAATTACAGCAGCTGGTGTAGTCCTAAGCAGATTCGTGGCACATCCACGGTAAAAACCTGGCATTCCTCTTGTTGAAATACTTGCTTAATGCAGTCTAAGACACCAGCATATCGTTTCTCGGAGTGGTGCCCTTGCTCTTGTAGCCTAGATCGTACTACCTGCAAATATGTTATGAGAAGTATAGCCATTTAAAAAGCACTAGAGCTCGGACCTTCAGCTACAGGTAGGCCCATAACTTGAGAAACAAGTGGATAATATGCCCCAAGTATACCTCATGCGGATATGTCAAGGTAGATGCAAATATTTTTGAAACTGAGGAGGCTACAGCAACATCACTTGCACTGAGTTTGTCCATTGAAACATTATCTGATACCAAATTCAAATAAATAGATTCAAACACCAAAAGAAGAACAAAAAAGAACTCCTTAATGAGCAACATAAGTAATCAGATACCTCGCTCAGCCAAATACATTTTGATTTTCTCATAAGTTGGGAATTGAATCGCAACATGACTAATACCAGCCAATGCAGGCACTAGACCACTGCCAAACAAAGAAAATCAGAATTGTCAGAATTGAACTACAATTATACAACCATATTCATATCAGCTAATATTCATGATGGTTGCACGCACCTGTATAATCCACGAATGCCCTCTTCATGAGCTATTCTCCTTAAAGCAGACAGTGTACTCCCGTACAGCAGTATACCTGATCTCGTACCCTGGGTCTGCAGAAAAAGTAAGATACAAATTTTATATACTAAAGAGGCAATGGCACCTTTAGCATGGGCTTAAGCACAAAACAACAGTGTCATTCCTTCAAGGCGAAAGAAAGATCCACTCGTAAGTTAACCAGTATAATATGAATTAAAAATACCAGACAGCCATTATTCCACAGTTTAAAAAAATAATGATCCAATTATTACTTCTCAAGGAAAGTTCCCTGCCCAACCAAGTTAAAAAGTGTGATAAATCCAGAAAATACCACTAACTCTTGCAATTTGTTAAGTCTAACCCACTTTAGACCAATTTATTTGGTGATAGTCTAGGTATTCTGACCAATAAAGTCATTCACCATTTGTCAAATGTGAGACAAGGTGTCCAAGTTAGCCCCACCTCAAATCATTATGGGGCCTGCACCAAATTCCAAGATACTCCCCAGGTACTGTTGTTGTAAGAAGTCTTTGCCCACCAACAACGTCACCATACCCAGCATGCAATCCCAATTCCCCTGCTGAATTAGGGATTCAATATATAACATCAACCGAACATGCTCCAGTTTATTCATGACCGACAAGCCGAACCTATTGGCCTAAGTAAATGTCAACCCACACCAGAGAAATCAAAAATGTCCCTTTCCAAAGTCTCAAACTCATCCTCATCGGCCGGCAACACCCTAATGCAGGCAAAATGAAGCTTCCAACCCACAATTGAAACAAAGGTGACCCTCACCCAGCTGGCAATGGAGAGTCATTTCACTATAAGAGAAGCTTGTCTTAAAAACATTGCTTGCTGTCCTCTTACAGTATAAATAACATATTCCGCCATATTTGAAATTCACAGAAGCATCCATTACATGCCCTCTGTGGCACTACTAGCACTTACCAAAAGAACTAACAAAACAGTAAGCCATATCTCATGTAGTTCTACCATGTACTTTCAAGAGTTGTGTGGCAGTTATGTTGTTGTATAAATTGTGAACATGTCTAGAACTGCAATCATATTCAGATATAACACATTTAAAAATTCCATTTTGCTTTCTCTCAGTAAAGGGAATTATTGATTCAATCTCAAGATTTATCTTTTTCTTTATTGAAGAAATGATGCAGATATGACCATTCAACATGCAATGCTGCCAGCAAAATAATGGCTCCGAAAAGGACAAAGATGTTTAATAGGTATATATTTTCACAAACATTTTTTTTACACTAAAAGTTCACCTCCGGTCTTACTTTATTCCTAATTGATTCAATTTCAACAATTTAAATCCTAAAGCTTCCAACTAATTTTAATAGGTCAAAACTCTTATGTGTTGTTACCAACTTACATGGAAACTCAGAATGCAGCTTCTGTGACTAACCTGGATTGGTATTTGTGTGTGTTGATTGGTAGGTGGATAGGTGGGTTTTTATTTTATTTTTTTTAATTTTTTTATTTTTTTTTTGAGGGGGGGGGAGATGTTAGAGAAGAATTAACTCTCCTCGATTAGATAAATTAGGATACAAAAAGTTAAAAATTAGGATGCCAATACAAAATATATAATTGTATCTGATGTTCCCCAATCCACGATTTTATGTTGGAATTCCCAATCTTGCTATGTGCCTTGATTCCACCAGATTAGGAAGTTATTTCCTTTTCAATCTTTCTGGCTGGACCCGTGATTAGCACTAACTGAATTTTCATCCAGATTGATACTGCATCATGGTCCACTAGCAACAGTTCAAAATTACAGGGTTTAAATTCTGCAAAATGTTTTCTGTAGAGACTGAAGTCAAATTGAAGGAAAACTACAAGAATGAAAAAAATGTAACTTTCGCAATTTTCCCCCTGAATCATATAAAAGCCAAGCTTAAAAGTTGGGAAGAGACCTAATACCAAATGGACCACCCACCTTCCAAAAAATTTTGAAAAAACGAATAGGAATAAGAAAATTATAGAAGAATAAGAAGACAGCCTCAGCAACACACCTGGAGTCTTGTCTTCACAACCCAAAGTGGATTTGTAGCAATTGTTGTTGCAGCTCCAGCACCAGAAGCAGCAATCATATTAGCACCCACCGGGAGTTGATGATTTGCATCTATGCATGTAAATCATGACATTACATTTAATAAGTCTTAAACCAAGCAAACTCGTGTTTCATTAATGGGAACACCGAAAATATAGTTCATTCAAGACCTAGCTAATACAGAATTTTTTAGCTTATCAACAAGCTTAGTGAATATGAACTAACCATCAGAACTTAGAACGCTTTTGAGCTGATCATAAATTGTAAAATAAACCTGCATAATTTAAAATTTTTGAGTCAGCTGAAAGAAGATTGAACTGAAGACACTTTCCAAAAATTCCAGGAAACAATCATATATAGCTGAGAAAGAATTAATTAATCCCACTTATTGCCTATTTATAATAAAGTAATTCAACAGCAGACTAGATTATGAATGAAGAACAAAACGTATGGTAAGGCAAACTCACCGCCCAGTTAGGAAGTAATGCCAGGACAGTGGGAGATAGCCCACGGTACATACCACGCAATCCCTCCCTCTGAAAAATTTGTTTTAAACTTCCAAATATGATACTTCCTCCTGGTCAATGAAAAAAAATAAAAAAAAGTTAGACTTCCGCAAAAACCAAATAAAAGAAACACCTGTCATCTCAGTTAACTGTGGAATTTTTTTCAATACTACCTACACTACTACAATCTTCCACGATGATACAGTAAATTTTATAAGCTAACAGCGCTATATGACGTAATTTCAAAACATAAAGCTTTCGTAAGTGAATGGACTATAGCTATATACCTTTAATGCTTTCATTTCCAAGCGCTGACAGCCCATGTACCTGAAACCTAGTCTTAATAACGTCTAAAGGACACACAAAAGTTGCCGCAATAACCCCTGCAAACAGATGTCCAAGTTCAAATAAGCAATAACTTGCGGACACGCTTAAAAAATCACCGTGCGGATAAATATCGTCAATATCCTTTTCTGATGCTATAAAATTCCCAAAAGATGATAAGGAGAGAGAGAAATGATAACAAAGGATAAATAACAGAGAGAAGGTAATCACTGACTGTCAGTTGACCAAAGAAGCACAGGACCAAGTATGTTTTCTCTCGGGAACCAAAGAGAAACCGGTAACGTACCAGCGGCAGCACCTGCACCAGCATTGCAAAGGACGCCTTGGAACTAGGGGCCTGAGTATCGGCTACGGCCATTGCTGAACCTACGAGAACCTGCGGCTTGGAAAGAAGCGATGTAGATGTAATATAGGTTGCAATTGAGCAAAGAGTCAGAGTCCTCTCGCGAGAGGGCGATCGCGAAGAACCAGGGTCGCATGGCAAGCAGGTAGATCTGTTGCGGATAAACCTAATCGGTTCTGAATAAGAATTAAGTACCTAAATCTAGGGTTCCGTCAGGACGAAGTGATCGGAGCGATTACAAAGCCTATATATCTTGGTCGTAGGAGGGGATTTGCGATTGTCGATGCGATCGAGGACCTTGAATCGCCATGTACCATGAACTACCTCGTCTCGCACCTTCAATCGCCGCTGGAGAGGCGTCTAAGTAGACGTAAAACAAAACTTGAGGAACGAGTTTCGCAGCCTCTCCCTATCACCTGCCCAATGGCTGTCTTCCCACCGGACAACTCGCCGCGCGTGGGTCCCAGCTCTTAAAAAAGTAATAAAAATAAACCACATCCAATGATTTACAAAAAAATCTTACGGGACCCGACTTATATAGATTATAAATATTAATGAAATTAATATATCGATTAACCTTTAGTGAATAAATAATTATTTTTATTTATCTGATAATTCTAGTCGAATATTTCATATTAACGGTGAAATCAACTTAAAGATTTATTAAGATTCTTTAGACCACTCCACGTATGCAGTGGCCTTGATCCGACAGTCCATTTGTTACCTCGTATCCAACATGAGTTTGGACTAATTTGTAATTTTCTCATACTCTTTGGGTAAATTAAACCTATTTAATTTTTAAATTCCTATTAATTCACAGCTGTACACTTTAAAAATTAAATTTTTTAAGGAATGCAATGTATAAATTAATACCTACGTGAACCTAGAAAATCATTTTTTATAATTTTAAAAAAACAGAGAGAATTAGTTAGAGATAACTATTAGTTATGAATTATTTGTAGGGTTTAGAGGTAAGTTTAGAATTTAATTTTGCGGTTCATATTTATTATAATTTATCTTATTAGGTATATAAAATAGGCATAATAGATAAAACAGGATCATAATCGGTTGTTTACTTTTCTAAAGTATCTTTTTTGGGGTGGCGTTAAGTTTTTTGTATTGATTTCTTTTTATTTAATTAAACTATTATTAGGTATCATCTTTATTGAAAAAAGACTTTTTAAACATTTGAAAGCCTGCATTTATATTTAAATAGAATAGGTTTATAAATTATTTTACTTTGATATCATTTATAATGACCTCAAAACTCTTGTGCTTAACAATTTGTTAAATTTAAACCACTGACCGAAAATGTTTAAACCCAAATTATTCAATAATAATCTTAAATCTCTTATATATCATATTATATTATTCTTAAAAATCAACGTCAGACAAGATATCACATATTTGTTGTTAAAGATTTTAACTCAAACAAGTTCATGATAAATAAATAAGAGAAATAATAAAAATGTAAAAGATTTGACATAATTCAATAAACTTCATGCAGACTTACAAATAATATTATTATACTATTCATTATGAATGTAAAAATCTAAAAATAAAATTTTAATTAAATTAAAATATCTGAAATCTAATAATATCTACATATTTTCTTAAATTGCAAAAGAATTATTTTGTAGAGTAGAGGTGAGGATTAGTTTCCAACCACCAAAATACTTAAAACTGACGGTTAAGTCAAATTTGTAAATTATTAACCAAATTAAACCGAATTATTCACTCAACCCAGACCAAACATCACTAATACTATCTTGTTTGGCCATAATAGATCTAACAAATTTCTATATTTATTTTTAGACTTGTATCAAATCAAGTGATGAGTTGATCAGCCTAATTAGGGAGTTGGGTTATAGTTTTAAAACTATTTGTATTATTTATTTCGTTGATTAATTCAAAATTTTAGATTTAAAATAGCAAAAGCCAACTAATAAATTAAAATTAGGTAGACTAAACTATTATAATTGAACTGATGTTTACTCCCTTAATAATTGAATGGAATCAGTCAAATTGAGTTGGTTTACTTGGTTATTTGGGTTTGAATTGAATTATGCTTAAAAATTATATATAAGGCAGAAAATTCTATCAATTTCAATAATTTTTATTATTTATAGTTTATTACTTATTTTGAAAGAAAAATATATTTTATCGGGAACACGCACCATATATACTTTATGGGGATATATATCTACATGTACATGTACGTATATATATTGCTTAAATATAAAAAACAATTTAAAGTGGTCTTCATATTTTTATTATTATCGTGACAATTGTCAAACAATTAAAGGAAAAAAAAATGACTTTGTCAAGGTGCGGAAACCCTATCTGGATCGCCGAGTTTGACAATTTGTATCTAGACAAGTTTTCCGCATGATTTGTTAGATTCAAAGGAGTAAATATATACCGGTTGGTCCGGTTGCCTTCAGATTCGTACAAGTCGCCGTCTACTTGCCAGGTTAGGGGTGTGTTGCATGGGCTTCTACAAAATACTTATCAGCTTTTTAACGATTAAAAAGTATTTAAAATGTATTTGTAAGCAAGTTTTCAACTTTAATTTTTCTAAAAAAACCTCTAAACAGTGAAAAATTAGAAGTAGCGGTAAGGGTATTTCAACTTTTAATGTCATTTTTGTAAATAAGTTAAAAATTAGTTTAAATTTTTATTTAGCACTATTGTCTTTTAATATTTTTTAATATTCCAAATCATCTTTGCAGAACTGTGTATCAGGAGGCAGAGCCGGTCCTTCTCTACCAACCACGGTAGAAGAGCAATGCTCGATCGACAATAGGGAGGGGGTGCGCGTGGTGACGAGGAGATCCATCGTCATTGTGCGTGGTGACGGGGATCTTTATTGCCACTACACGCGACAACAAGAAGGGGGTGCGTGCAACGACAAGGAGATTTGTCGTCACTATGCGCACTTTGTCGCCACACGCAATGGCCAACTACGGGGGGTAGCCGGAAGTGAGATGTCAGGGCCTTAACCATACCCTGACCGGCACTAGGGTCCCCGACCCTAGCCAGCCTTACCATCGCACACATATACCAAATCTAACCTAAACATTTACACACACACATATATATATTTCAAAACCGTCATTTACAAGCCAGGATCCTGTCTGAGGGATAAAGGGAGCCATAGAGTACAAAATAATAAACAAATAACTCGCCCATACAATGACTGGAGTGGTAGACGATCGTCTCGATCTTGGCACGTAACCCGAGATCAGCAATCTATATCTGGAAAGGTTATAATAAGTGATTCGCGAAACTCAGTGAGTACGGACGATACTTACTCTATGCATGTTAGAATGTGCATCATGTCACAATTTAAACCATACTGACATATACAGTAATTAATAACACATCAACTATACTCTGAAAGATACCACTAACCACGCATCACAGCACATCACATCACATTGCAACATATCAAATCACATCACTACACTGGACCCAGGTCTACTCGCCACTAGATGCTACGGATCACCGTACTCCAGCCGAGTTCCTAGCATCGCCAAATCACACACGACCCAGGCCACTCACCACTGGACACTACGGACTACCGTACTCCAGCCGAGTTCCTGGTATCGCCAAATCACACATGACCCAGGCCACTCACCACTGGACCCTACGGATCCGTACTCTAGCCGAGTTCCTAGCGTCCCCACATCACATCACGTCACACAACACCATCCACACACGCAAGTCAAAAACATACATACAACGATTAATGCCAACATAAAATATACACAGAACTGGAAGTCCAGTGATCATTGAGACTCTAGCTCGCGATCAAGCCCCAACACAGTCACACATCACGCTCCCAGTTAAGAAGCATCCTCCATCTCACAACTAGAGCCACACGCCCACCCCGACAACCACTACACGTTCCCAGTCGAGAGGCATTATCCATCTCACGACCGGAGTAAACGGTCTCAGCGCATCATGAACTCCCCACATATCCACACAAACAAACATACAACATATACAATTTCCAAATTCCAACCCAGTTTTACATACCAATATATATCCCACCAATAGAAAGCAACACATAATACATATCATACGGTTCATGTATCAAGATACAGTTTATGAATCCACACAATCATCATGCTAGGAAAACAGGTGCACAGAATACATGCACAAATAGGGTATCATCACTCACTGTAGGCCGAATCTAACAAAAGCCTCAGGTCACGTCAATCAACTCTCGGTCTTGGTGCTCCTCCACGGGTGAACCTAAAGTCAAAACCATACAAACCATCACTGACCTTATCGTCAGTACCCAACAGCTCGACAGCCCAAGACATGACTTAAATTCCATTCCCGTACCTGACACGCCTCCCGAGACACCACTACCCATCACCGGATCTCACGCAACTCACTAATACTCATACTTCGGCTCAACAACCCTTAACAGTAAAAGACTAGCCTCCACAACCCCAACCCATAGCGAATCGGTCTTTGAAACCCCGAACCGGCCTAATCTGATCCCAAAACTACCTTGAACTCAACTCAATTGGCCACAAAACCCTCAAAAATGGATTCAGAAGGCCCAAAAACCTTATGAACCATACTAACTTGGCTAAAAACCTTTAAGGTTAGGCCAAACCGGGCAAAAAACCCTAATCCGAGACATCGACACGCAAACCGAGGCCGGTTCACCTTGAACTAGACCTCCAAACATCACCAAATTCCATGGTTAACTAGATTTCATCATGTTGAACTAGGAACCGGTTCAATCTCCCCAAAAATTGGCTTAAAAACTGGTGAACCGGCCATCCGAATGGACCACACTAAACTGGCCAGTTCACCTCGAACCAGGCACCCAAAATTTTCCGAACCCATTTGATTTGATTAGTATTTTCTCCTGAATCCAGAACCGGTCCAACTTTCCAAATCCGAGTCTATTTGACGACTAAACTGGCCGGTCAAACCTTGGACCATTTATGGCCGGTTCAGTCAACTCTCTAAACCCTAATCCCTAAATCTTGGATTATGCTATCCCCTGCTATCCCCAACCTGGCCCTATCCTTAATTTCCTATTCCCCTGGAATAGCCTATCCCAATCTCCCTTTCTGAGTCAACTCGGTTGAGTTGACCCAGCCTATACCA